CGCCTGCCAAGGTGTTGAAGGACCCTGCTGAGGCTGCCGCCAATGGTCAACGCCGAGGACTCCTCCGACAGGCCACAGCTGTCAAATGTCACTGCCGAAGGTCACTGCCGACGGGAACCAGCCGGAACAGCCGGTCGTCATCGGGGTCGGTCTCCCCGCAGGAGCCACGGCAGTCGTCGCGGAAGTCGCCTCTGGAGCAACGGGAGTTGTCGTGCCTGGGACGGGAGTTGTCCACGCCGGAGAGGCAGTCGCTGCACAAGAGACGGGAGTTGTCACGCCGGGGACGGCTGTTGTCGCCGCCGGGACGGGAGTCGTCCACGCCGGAGAGGCAGTCAAGGCAGGAGAGACGGGAGTCGTTGCACCGGGGACGCCCGTCGTCACCGCAGGGGCGGGAGTTGTTGCCTCCGCCCCCGCCTCTGGATTTGTGCGTTGATAAACGCCCGCCCTCCCGCCCACGCCCCCGCCCCTCCAAAAGGGGCGGGAAGTAAGACCCGCCCTTCTTTTTGGGCGGGTTTTGCCACACACCCCTCAGAAGCCTGACTAATTTTGTTAAAGCTTAATAAGTATTGTTAGCCCATTCCCTTTTGGGAATAACCAAATCAATCCCAGGTGAGTCTTAGTACCCTGGATGCCTATTAATACCTTGTATTGATCCGGATGCACTGTTGATAGCAAGCCTCTCAGTAAAGACCATACTGATAGAGTGAAACCTCCTCTTTACAGGACTCGTATTAATCACCCACTACCTAACACTCACCACACTCAAAACTTCAGTCAACTCATAGTAACAACCTTTTTACTATTAAATACTCAGGTTAGTTACCCAGAGGCTGACAATTGGGGGTCTGGCCTAATTGGAATTCCGTTACTAACATATCTCCGTGCTTCTTTTTACCTTTTGTCCCCAAAACAATTACTACTAACAATGGCCTTCTGAAGAACAAATGCCGGAAGTTTTGCCACTTATTAGACAAATTGATAGTACAATTGCAGAAGAAGCTAGTAGATATTACCACAACCACCCGGATAACATTACAGTTATAGAAAGAGTAGAAAAAATAAAAGTAACAGAAGCAGAAGATAGATTTTGGAATTATACAGAAACTAAGCGCTACCATTGTACCCTTCATTCTACCTACTCCCCTGAATACATACTCATAAATCTTGTAGAAGAGGACATGTCCATAGTAGAAAAAGCCGTAGAAACCAATAGAAACAACTTCTTTACAGCGCTAGAAGAAACCCCAAAATATAGAACTCTTCCTACTAACATCTTGTCTAGAACAGTCCGCTACTTCACTCTTCCACCTTTTACTGCTTGTTCTCCACCTCAACCCAACTCTATAATCATAGACCTCACGGATTTAGAATAAATTAGCCTTGTTTTTATCTCATCTCATCTCATTTCCTTAGTATCAGAAATAAAAACACCAAAAAACACAAAAATAAAATTCTTGCACTATCTGTTTCACTCATCTCGTGCCACAAAAAATCACAAAAATATTTCATTATATTATCATTTGATTCATCCACACAGAAAAAATTAAAAACCCTTAAAACATATGTCTGTGTCCCTTCAAAAAGTCTTATTTTTTCAGTCTGAGTCACTTTACACTATCACGGAGAGAAAACCATAACAGATACAAGCAATCTGAGTCAACCATTCAATCCTCCGTACCCTGTTTACACTACTAGGTTTTTTTCCTGAGCCTTGAAAGTCTACCATTCCTACGGCGTGAGCGGATCTAGTCACATTTACCCATCATCTCGAGGGGTAGTACCTGGTCGAAGTCTAAAAATAGAGTTATCTCACGTGTACATAAGGTTCTGCAGGCCGTATTACACAGTTACAACTCAATACACCCCGGATTTGCCAGGATCTGCAAGGATCTACATACATACAGATCTTCCGTACTACCACTCCCGCCTAGTACATCACCCCTCCTACTAAAACCGTTGAAAGTGATCTTTCCTGATCTTTGAGAGAGTGTAGCTCATTCATTATTTGAGCTACATTGACAAACAAAATACAGAAATCATCGCCTTTATAAGACGTATCCAGTGCCTCTTTCAAATCCATCCTCACTCAACTCCATCACCCAGTTTCAGTGGCAAACACCGACCTCTTAAGTTTTCGACCAGAAATACTCTGAAATATTTCATTCTGAAAAGTTGAGCGTGTTCCTTAGCTTCTGAACGTATCTCTCGAACAAAAAATTTCTGGAAAAGCTCAAAAATTGGTTGTGTAACAGTGTCCGCCGTCAACAGCACCCTTAGCGCTAATATCCAAAACTTGGAAGTACACGACAAAAACACTGCGCCACAAGACAATAGAGCCCAATCTCCTCAAAAAACTAATAGAGAAGCCTCAGTAGTTGCCTCAGATAAATCCTCAGGTGAATTTAACACCTCTACATATTTTTTTGTTATCAATTTTCACCGGATAAAAATCTCCTACTAAGACCTGTTTTCTTTTATCATGTCTCCACCTTCTCTCAGACTTGAAGGTTATAATGGAAGGACCAGAGAGGCTCCATCATCCCAGAGAGGATTTCCACCAGCGTCAGTTTTACAAAAGAATAAAGATAAAATTATTTACACGTCAAAAAAGAAACTAATATCTCCTACTAACAGTTCCCAAGGAGGAGAAATTTGAGCGCTATTATTACAGGATGAAGACCAACAAAGAATGGTTGAAGGTTGTGCGCAACCGCAGCAGTTACTGGGCCATCAGAGCTCATCTAAAGTATTGCCGGGAGGATTTCCAAGCAATGATAGACTTAAGAGGAATGACGACGACCCTCAAAAGAACCAAGGGTTGGAACCCATTACACGTGACAGAGGAGAATCTCCTTCAACCACGAGAAGCGCCGGACCTTCAAGAAGGATCAATGAGACCCCTGAGTTGCAGAGGGAGGAATACCCATTCAAGACACCCAAGGAATACGGGGAGGAACACTCAATGGCGCAGCCAAATCTACGAAGAAATGATACGCCTTGGGAGATCTCTTCAAGGGACTTATCAACACCTGGATAAAGGCAAAATCAACCGCCAACACCGCTTCATGGAAGAGGAGCCTTAAATATTTCCCCTACACCTGCGCGTGAAAATTCTCCTGATAGTTCTGATAGTGATTCTACTAGTAGGAAATCAAAATTGTTGTCTAGTGATTATTCTACGTCACAAGTTCCCCATGAAACTATCCCAATAAAAATTTCTCTACGCAGAGCTGTTAATATGTTTACTGAGAACATGAATTTTTTAGTACAACATACCTTAAGAAATAACAGAAAAATTACTACCGATATGAAGAAATTATGCCGTAAAATTGAGGGCAGCTGGGATAAAAGAGCTGATGAGGAAGATAATAATTTTACTTACATCAGAGATAAAGTTATGATCATGGAAACTGGCCTTGAATTATTACATAAAGAAATGCCAGAAATGCTTGAGAAATTAGGAGATCAAACCACTCGAGTAATAACCAGAGTAGAAGAAAAATGGGAAGATATACAAAATAATAACAAAGAAATGCTCCATAAATTCAACAATATGGAACAATCTTTCCAGAAACTACACAAAGACATGCTTGAAAAAATTAATTCACAATATAAAAGCTTTGAGGATGTTGTAAACAGGATAGAATTAAATAATTTAAATAAAAATAAAAATAATTCCGCCTGCAGCATCAAATTAGAAAATAAAATTGAAGAATTAATTAAAATTAACCAAGAGCCTAACAGTTGCCAGAATTTAACATCTCAACATACTGTTCACGGCAAAGGAAAGGAAATACCACCTCATGTAAATTCATCAATTACCATACCAGATAAAATAAGTACAAATCCTTTCTTTAATTTATCAAACACGCAATCCAGTAATATGAATTTCAGTGACCCTAAAATTAACACCCCAGTTAGATCAATTAACACTGAAGTACACCATTCACGCGTAACTGATGACCAGGATAAAACAATTCAGAAATTAATTTTATCAGGAATGCCAAAAGTTAATGAATGGAGTACCTTTTCAGGGAAGGGAGAGTATGATCACTATAAATTCATAGAATGGATTGATAATCTTAAAGAAGATACCCAAGCACCAGATCCACTTATATGTTCTAAATTGAATTCAATTTTGACTGGCGCAGCTAACACTTGGTATAATCAGAGGAAGAAAGAAACTCATGGAGTCAAAGATTGGAATTTCTGGAAGAAAGAAATTATAGCTAAATACAGCACACCTGAATGGAAAAGAAAGGTTAGAGAAAATTTCAGAAAGAACAGATTTGACATCAAAGGAGATATTGAACCATCTGAATGGGTTACTACTCAAGTTAACAGATTGAGAGCAATTGAAAGAAATATTGATAATCCTGCTATAAATGATAAATTGTTGGCCCAATTGGACAACAAAACTGCTTAAAAAATGAGAATTGCCTTAAATGATGAGGATGACTTGACTCAATTTATCAATGAACTAGAAAGTATAGCTAACATTAAAAGAAAGAAATACAAAAGAGATAATAAAAGTGCTACTTAAGATTACTCCAGAGATTTCAAGAAAATTAATAAAGACTACACCAGTAAAGACAAAGATAAAGAGAAAGAAAAGGAAGTCACCTGTTATGAATGCGGCAAAAAAGGACATAAATCTACTAAATGCCCTAAACTCAGTAAGAATAAGAAAGATGTCATGATGGTTAAAGCTCATGAAGATAACCAACAACCCTTTTCAGATTCTGAAGATAATGATACCAAATCTGAGAGTAGTGATTCTGAAACATCTTCTGAAGAAAATAGTGACAGTACTATTGACGCCATTATTAATAAAGAAAAAATCATTTCTAATATAGAACTTCTACCTGAAAAGAGTTTAGCCCATAAAATTATCAAATTACCCGTGAAAAAGTCTAGTAATAAAGGAGAAATTCATAAGACTGGAGGAACTAACATCACAAATATTATCTGTAACAAATACAAGATTAAATGTCTGATTGATGGAGGAGCCTTCTGTTCTATAATTAGTCCCAAATTATTAGATAAAGTACTGCCTGATTGGAAAACAAAATTGATCCCCATCAAACCTGAGAAATTCTACAGTTGTAACAGTAAATTGAACCCTATGGGAATTATAACTCTAGATATTATATTTCCTCATGCTAAAAATAACATACAAATCACGGTAGAATTAATTGTAATGGAAGACTTTAGAATGAAATACATTATTTTAGGAAATGACTACATAATTAATTACGGGATAGATGTTATAAATAGCAATGGTAGATATTTTACTATTAATGGAGATCTATCCACTAAATTTGAACTAGGTATTACTGATAAAATGAACTTAGTACAACTAGAATGTAATGCTTTAGAAAATAATAATTTTGAAAATACTATTGAAGAAGCAAAAATTTCTAGTACTTTAAC